GTAAGTGATAACCAGCACTTTGAGCACCTGTCACAAATCTTGTGATGTGGCTGCTTTAGTTTCCTATTCCTTGATTTAGTTAAATACACAAATGCTGCTGTCTGCACATCAAATGCTAAATAAACACATGTCCTGAGATGCCTCTCCTGTATTTGTGTGCTACAGATGAACAGTACCAGGCTTGTATCAGTTTGCTCTGTATTTTTTGCCAAACCAGTAGCTACCCATACAACTGCCATTATATGACATGTTTTGTAGTTTTAGTATGTCAGAGCATGAGCTTTGGGTCTTCCCTACTGAGGTGGAAATTGTTTTGCTGTTGGGGCACATGATTTATGTTTTGGTGAAGTTGTTGTACATTGAAAACATGATCTCTTTCTCTCTCCCCCCCCCTTACTTACAAAAGGGAGAACATGGAGTTGCGGGGAAGATGGGCCCCCCAGGTTTCCCAGGGAAAAGGGGGCATAGGGTAGGGCATTGTAAAATGCTTGGGCTTGGTTTTCTGATCTTCATTGCTTGTCTACCAACACCATCCTTGTTCTGTTTGCTTTGAGCTGTGTTTCTGTGCTTGGGCAGAATGCTTCCAATCCCTTACTTACATCCGTGTGCTGTGCCAAAGGAATTGGTTAACATTTTTTTTTTTGAGAGGTGTGAAATAAATTAGAGATGTTTAATTTTTGGAGTACCTGATTTCAGCCATGATAAGTTGAGGTATTGCTGTTCAGAATATGCAAAACATTAGCATCCTTATCAAATAAATACAAAGAAAAATGTGGCATTACAGAATCAATGGCATTTTTTGAAGTCAGGTAATCTCAGAGGGATATGGGAACTGCTCCCCAGTACTTTTAGAGTTAGGCTGCAGAATGGATTAATTTGACCTCTTCTGAGTGCATGATTACCGATCAGGGTTATAAAGAAAATGACAGGGAACCTGCAAGGACTTGTGGTGGATATCTCATCTTCACCTCCCTCTGTCTGTTTCCTCTGTCTCTTCGCTGAAAGACCCTATAGGCTGTCCCCTTTTCCTGCTTCCTTACCTCCTTCATTATCTTCAGCTTTCCCCCCACTAGCAATATCTCCCTGGCCCCAGTTGTATGATGGGGCTGCCACTGGCTGGGCCCAGTTGTGTGGTGGTGCCCTTTGAGCCCAATTGTACAGTGGTGGCTGTGAGGCCTGGGCCAGTTGTGTGGGTGGTGAATCTCTGGGGGTTGCCACTGAGCTGACAAAGCCAGACTGAGATATTTGCCATGAGCTGTATTTTTATATTGTATCTGTCTTAAACCTTGAAATACCAAATAAGATAGGCATGATGGGAGCACACAGGGATTCAGAAGATTGCTGGGATGCTTAAATATTTATGAGGGGATGTAATCACTGCTTACCTTGAAGATGACAAAATCTATATGTCTGATAAGTATTAGCTCTAGGTACGGTTCATTAACTCTTTATATTTCCCAGTCTAATTTGAAAATAAAACACTTTAATGGCTTATGTTCACGATGAAATAGGCCAGCTCATCTTTTGCTTTTACAAATAGGAGAACAAAATGTCCCTATGCATACATAATTTCCATTCATATTCAGAACTTTATTTGCATGACCATGGATAAAATATTCAGAGTTTTATTTGCATGACCATGTACATTTTGTCCTTTGCACCAAATATCATTCAAAGAATATAGCTGTCTGGAACAGAAGTTGGAATCTTAAGAATGTAAACTTTAATAGTTTTATTTTGGCTTACAGGGTGTGGTGAAACTCAGATGCTAGTAGGAGAAGTATGGCAGTGGTCAAGGAATAAGAATTTTATTATTCTGTAGCCCATGGCTATTCTTCCCTACCATTTTGCCCCCTTTCCTCAGTCATGCCTCCCTTTTTCCATTCTCCTTTCTTTTTAAGACCTAATTTCATGATCACTTCAGTGCATTGTTGCACAGAGAAAAGCCTGCCCTAGTTGACTCTGAAACTTAATACATTATGTAAAGTGTGCTTGCTGTTGTCATATGGGTGTTCTACCACCAGTAATATCTACAATTTTCCCCTAACCCTGCTGGGTTAGACATGGATGGCTACATACTATGCTAATGATGCCTGAGAAGAAGTTTCAGACTTTTTGAGATGTGGCCAGTTATTGAAATCCATGAAACTATTCTGGATTAAACAGTTTAAAAAACTTTGGCCATGTGAGTGCACCTGGTGTCTTTTATCATGATATTAGTTGAGAAGTAATCAGATAATGGACATATGGCCTTGGTGTGATACAAAAAGGTGGTTCTGCTGGAAGAAGTGAGTACACTTGTTCTGAAAGTCTTGACCTTCAAAAGGAATGCTAGAGGGAATAGGAATGAACTTTAGACACGTTTGCTGCCTTGTGCCTGTAGGCAGCTTTACTGACATTCACCTAATCCTACAGATTATTGTAACCACTATTTTACCTCATCTAAACTCTGCCAACAGGATGAAAAAGGAGTTCTTGGTGATCCAGGATCTCCTGGAATCTTAGGACAGAAGGTTTGTTTAGTTAAGTGAGGGAAGGGAATATTTCCATGAAGCATAGTCCATTTTCTCACAGAGTTATTTGACGCCGTCTGATGGTGAAAGGAAAGTCCGATGCTGCAAAGAACAATACTGCATAGGAACCTGGAATGTAAGATCTATGAATCAAGGTAAGCTTGACTCAAAAATGAGATGGCAAGACTGAACATCGATATCTTAGGAATCAGTGAACTTAAGTGGAAAGGAATGGGCGAATTTAACTCAGAAGACCATTATATCTACTACTGTGGCCAGGAATCTCGTAGAAAAAATGGTGTGGCCTTTATAGTCAACAAGAGAGTGCAAAAGGCAGTACTGGGATACAATCTCAAAAATGACAGAATGATTTCTGTCCGATTCCAAGGCAAACCATTCAACATCACAGTAATCCAAGTCTATGCCCCAACCACTGATGCAGAAGAGGCTGAAGTAGACCGGTTCTATGAAGACCTACAACACCTCATAGAACTAACACCAAAAAATGATGTCCTCATCATCATAGGGGACTGGAATGCTAAAGTAGGAAGTCAAAAGGTAACCGGAATAACAGACAAGTTTGGCCTTGGAAAGCAAAATGAAGCAGGGCAAAGGTTAACAGAGTTTTGTCAAGAGAACACACTGGTCATAGCGAACACCCTTTTCCAACAACCTAAGAGGCGACTCTACACATGGACATCACCAGATGGGCAACACCGAAATCAGATTGACTATATAATTTGCAGTCAAAGATGGAGAAGCTCTATCCAGTCAGTAAAAACAAGACCTGGAGCTGACTGTGGTTCAGATCATGAGCTACTCATTGCAAAATTCAGACTTAAACTGAAGAAAATCGGGAAAACCATGAGGCCATTCAGGTTTGACCTAGATCACATCCCTGATGAATATACAGTAGAGGTGAAGAATAGATTCAAGGGTCTGGATTTGATAGATAGAGTGCCTGAAGAACTATGGACAGAGGTTCGTGACATCGTACAGGAGGCAGCAATCACCACCATACCAAAGAAAAAGAAATGCAAGAAAGCAAAATGGCTTTCTGATGAGGCTTTACAAATAGCAGAGGAAAGAAGGAAAGCGAAAGGCAAAGGCGAAAAGGAAAGATTTACCCAACTGAACGCAGATTTCCAGAGAACAGCAAGGAGAGATAAGGAGGCCTTCCTGAATGAACAGTGCAAAGTAATAGAAGAAAACAATAGAATGGGAAGGACTAGAGATCTCTTCAAGAAAATTGGAGAAATCAAGGGAGCGTTCCATGCAAAGCTGGCCATGATAAAGGACAAAAACGGTAGGGACCTAACAGAAGCAGAAGAGATTAGGAAAAGATGGCAAGAATACACAGAAGAACTATACAAGAAAGACCTCAATGTCCTTGACAAACACGACGGTATAATCACTGACCTTGAGCCAGACATCCTGGAATGTGAAGTTAAATGGGCCTTAGAAAGCATTACTAACAACAAAGCTAGTGGAGGTGATGGTATTCCAGCTGAGCTATTCAAAGTCTTAGAAGATGATGCTGTTAAAGTTCTGCACTCCATTTGCCAGCAAATTTGGAAAACGCAACAGTGGCCACAGGATTGGAAAAGATCAGTATACATTCCAATCCCAAAGAAGGGCAATGCCAAGGAATGTTCAAACTATCGCACAATTGCACTCATATCACACGCTAGCAAGGTCATGCTCAAGATCCTACAAGCTAGGCTTCAACAGTACGTGGATAGAGAACTACCAGAAGTACAAGCTGGGTTTCGAAGAGGTAGAGGAACTAGAGATCAAATTGCCAACATTCGCTGGATTATGGAGAAAGCAAGAGAGTACCAGAAAAATATCTACTTCTGCTTCATTGACTATGCTAAAGCTTTTGACTGTGTGGATCACAACAAACTATGGCAGGTCCTTAAAGAGATGGGAGTACCAGACCACCTCACATGTCTCTTGAGAAACCTGTATAAGGGCCAAGAAGCGACAGTTAGAACCGGATACGGAACAACTGATTGGTTCAGCATAGGAAAAGGAGTACGACAAGGATGTATACTGTCACCTTGCTTATTTAATATATATGCAGAGTACATCATGCGAAATGCTGGCCTGGATGAATCACAAGCGGGAATTAAGATTGCTGGGGAAAAGATCAACAACCTCAGATATGCAGATGATACCACTCTAATGGCTGAAAGTGAAAAGGATCTAAAGAGCCTCTTGCTCAGAGTAAAAGAGGAGAGCGCAAAAGTGGGCTTGAAGCTCAACATCAAAAAAACTAAGATCATGGCATCCGGCCCCATCACTCCTTGGCAAATAGAAGGGGAAGTCGTGGAAGTAGTGACAGACTTCACGTTCCTGGGATCCCAGATCACCGCAGACTGTGACTGCAGCCATGAAATTAAAAGACGCCTGCTCCTTGGGAGGAAAGCGATGGCGAACCTAAACAGCATGATAAAAAGTAGAGACATCACCCTGCCAACAAAAGTCCGCATGGTCAAAGCAATGGTATTCCCAGTAGTCATGTATGGCTGCGAGAGCTGGACTATAAGGAAGGCCGAGCGCCGAAGAATAGATTCTTTTGAACTATGGTGCTGGAGAAGACTCTTGAGAGTCCCTTGGACTGCAAGAAGAACAAATCAGTCAATCCTCAAAGAAATCAACCCTGACTGTTCCCTGGAAGGCCAGATAATGAAACTGAAGCTCAAATACTTTGGCCACCAAATGAGAAGGGAGCACTCACTGGAGAAGACCCTGATGCTGGGAAAGATTGAAGGTCAAAGAAGACGGGGACGGCAAAGGATGAGATGGTTAGACAGTGTCATAGATGCAACGAACATGAAATTGAGCAAACTTCAGAGGACAGCGGAAGACCGGAAGGCCTGGCGGGAGCTGGTCCATGGGGTCGCAAAGAGTCGGACTCGACTGTGCGACTGAACAACAACAAATTGGTCCAGCAAGCTCACTATTGTCTCCTCTGACTGACAGTGGCTCTCCAGGGTCTCATTTAGAGAGAAGTGTTTCCCAGCACCTACTATCTGAGATCCTTCTAAACTGAAGATGCCAGGGAATTAACTTACTGCCTGCAAAATATGTGGTCTACTACTAAGACATATACTTACTGAGTGCAGATATTACAAAATTGGCACTGTGGTGTCTGAACTGAGACTGAATTTAGGAGATACATTTACCAGCATATCAACATGAGCTGCTTCCATACAGCAGATATTTTCCATATTGCTTTCATTGCCACTGTGAATGCAGAGGCAAGTACACTGGAAACAACTTACTTATAAGCAATAGCTTATTTATACCTTGTTTTTCACCACAGTGGGGTTATAATGCCTTACAACATTCCCCACCCCCCATTTTATTTTCAGAGCCCCATGAGGAAGGTGAGGCTGAAAGAGTGACTGACCCACAGTTACCCAGAAAGCTTCCATGGCAGAGTGGGGATTTAGACCTGAGTCTCCCAGATCCTAGTCCAACACTGTTGACTACTATACCATGCTGGCTGTCCACATGTGGGAGTTTTCTGATTCTTCCTTTCCAACTCTTTCTTTCCATATGCGCTCAGCAGAAACACTGCATGGCATGGTTGTCATGGCTGCTGTGATGAGTTGCCAGCCCATTTATTGTTCTTTTGTTCACTAATGAATTATATCACTATAATTATTCTATTAACATTTCAAACAGATGTTGCAAAAGATTGTTATAGCACTATAGCAATTATTGATTTTTGTTTAAAAGCCCTCAAAAAAGCCATGTAGCAGGGGAAAATTGTTGAGAAAACAGCATCCACAAAAGGCTGACAGGAAATTATGCCATTGTAAACCAGACCTTTGTAGGCCAGAAGTATTTACAATTCCTTACAGATGGCATGCTAACATATTAGGACAGCTAGATTCAAGTCCAGTAGCACCTTAAAGATTTTGGGGTATAAGTTTCTGAGAGTCAACACTCCCTTCATCAGACCTAACAAAGGGAGTGCTGTCTTTCAAAAGCTTATAACCTCCAAAGACTCGTTGGTCTTTAAGGTGCTACTGGACACTTTCAAAAGCTTATAACCTCCAAAGACTTGGTCTTTAAGGTGCTACTGGACTCAAATCTAGCTGTTGTACTGTAGACCAACATGGCTACCCTTTGAAGCACTAGGATAGCATTCTTTCCAAAAAGACTGGAGTAAGGTTTGGAAAGGAGCATATTTAAGAATGTAGAAACCCCAGAAACAGGACAATTCCAGCAAGACATTGTTTGGAAACTCCCAAAACTCCAGTTTCAAAGCTGAGGTGGGGAAACAGCCCTGGAGAATGCAGCTGTGATCTGGAAAATACAAAGATATAATAAGCAACTGACCATTGTTCATCTTTCTTTGTACCTAGGGAGAAAAAGGAGACTCTGGCAATGCTCTTGGAGGAGGTAAAGGGGAACCTGGACCACCAGGATTACCTGGATCTCCTGGACCAAAGGTAAATAACGTTCTCTGCCTTTTTGATAGGTGTAATGAATATTCCAGGGTGGATGCCTACAGATGCATTTGATGAATACTGTTTCTTCACTAGGGCATTTACAATGCCATCCTAAGCACAGTTGTATCCCTCGATGTCCATGCTTAGGATGGAACTGCTAATTTGCTGTTTTAACTGAAAGCCAGTCTCTTATAGTCTCTTCAAAATAGTTACTCAAAATTTCCTGCCTATCTTTACCTTGATAAATATAGAAAACTCTGGAATTGGCAAAGAACCTCTTTTTCAAACAAGTTGTTAGCTAGAAGATATGGAAAACAACACGATAAATTTCCCCACAGCATTTATAGCTCATGTGGAAATGCAAAGTTTTGATCCTTATTGAAAATCTAAGCCGCAGTGTTATGTTTGACAATGTAAATTAAATTACGGTTGGCACTTACCTAATTTTGTTAAGGCATATGTTGCATACAATAGAGCCATACCAGATCAGATCTTCAGAATGAGAGTACTGGGAAAAACTAATTTAACTCATTTAACACCCCTAAATGTTTCTCAGTTCTTCTTTGTGTGGCATGATGTGTTTCAGTCATGAGGAATCATGGGAGGATATCTAACTGAAACTATGTAATACTTACTAGTCTCCACATAATTATAATATAATATAATATAATATAATATAATATAATATAATATAATAATCTTTCGATTTATTAATCGCTCAATTCTGCAGAGCTGCTGGCTCTGAGCGGTTTACAGTTACTCATATACACATGGGACTAACAATGATTCATAGGGGGTGAGGGAGGACAACATATAAATCTTTTAAGTCGCACACGTTTGCAGCCGACGGGGATTTTGTTCAGCTGTAGCCTCAGACGTGTTCCAGACGGCATTCACTCGGCTTGGCTTGATGACGTCAGTTCTTCCAGGACTGCTTCGAGTCTCAGCGCCACACTGCCACTTCCTGGCCAGATTGGCTCATCACAGGCTTCTTAATGCCGAAGAAATCTTTCCAGGCTTCCGAACGTACGAGCTGGACATTCCGTTTCGCCGGCTAACACCTCCCCCCACCGGGGGGATTTAGTGTGCCCACCCTCTCTAAGGAGTGGTACCCATTTTATCTACTCGCCGAAGCTTTCGAACCGCTGGGTGGATGGCCAGCTGGGGACAAGGCTGGTAGCTCACACCAGCGCGGGCTAGAACTGACAGCAGTTCTGTTCAGTTCAGATGTTACTGTAACCAGAGGATAAATCCTCTGTGCCACCGCTCCCCTTAATGAAGAATCCACAGGGGAGCAGGACCAATTTGCCCAAGGGTGATTGTTGTATTACTGTTCAGGCTATATTCAGGAAAACTGACTACATTACAAAGTAAGATTTTCAGCAGCCTAATAGATTGAGGTTCTTTTTTTACTTCCCACACTTGCCTCTTCAGGTAGAGCAGATCTACTTCTGGCTTACACTGCAGTAATGGCTCAAAGTATGCAAATGAAACTGACTCATAAATATTTTCAGATGCCACTCTCCAAATACAGGTGATTAAAATTTCGTTCCTGGCCATATTAATCCCAAGCACTGATTTGAAAATGAGTATCTGAAAATTATGAATCCTCAACTAGTTTAGATAAACCAATTTTATTCCACATATCTTAGATCTAGATGGAAGCTCCAGGTCCTAACCACATACACGACTGATTTTTTTTTCAGGGCTCCAAAGGGGAACCAGGAAAGAATGAAATAGTGGATTACAATGGCAGTATCAATAAGGCCTTACAGGTAAAAAACTCAAAAGGACCTAACAAGTACAATTTAGGGGGGGTTGCGGTTTTATTTAACCAGCTTTGTTAATGGTCTGCTTCTGTTTTATGGATAGTTTTATACAGTTTATGTCCAGTGGTTTGTTTTAACTGTAAGCTGCCTCAAGCAGGACTCTGAAGAGGCAACATAGAAATAGCCTAAGTTGTTTTCGTAATAATAATCATCATCAACAAATATTCAAGTGACCTTTTTAGCTGCTCAAGAATAATGTGTTCTACTGCACAAAATTGCTGGCACATATTCAGGGAAGCATATGGCATTATAGCATGAGATCGGACTCAGTCATATTGCAAGGATGCTCAGATTTTCAAAGATGTGCTCATAGATTTGCCATCTTTTGATATTCACTGTAAGTTCATGGTTGACATAACCAAGAAGAAATATTTTGTGACAAGTATAATTCTAAACAGAACAAGAAAATTGTTAACAGTACAAATGTGCAGTGCTCCTGTACTGACTGATGTAGTTCAAACAACAGGAACATAATCAGTGATAAAATACAAAGTCCCAGTCTAGTTCTAGTTTTATGCACGTTGCATGCAAGCAACATCTACTGATATCAGATGGGGGTGAGAATCCAGACAACTCACTAGGACCAAGAGAAGGTGTTGCAGGCTCCCAGCTCACCTGGAGGACCAACAGGCACAGCAAGCTTGGCAAAGGGTGCGGCTTCAAGTCCAGATATAATGATGCACACTCCCAGGTATAATGAAGTATCCAGTCTCTATTATCAATGCAAGGTTGTGGTTAATTTCACCCACCACAGTTACGGATTTTTTAATGGGAACTTTAATCTTTGAATTTAGGATCTTCGACGTGGTCTCTGTGCTTCGCACCCATGGGATCTAGTGCACACACGCTGGATCGATCGGCATTGTAGCAAGCTCTTTAATGGATTTTCGCACCCAGACCTCAGGCATGCGCAGGAACCCCACCGTGCATGCCCAGAGGGCAGGGCGTGGACATCCCGCCAGTTCCTTTCTTACCGCCGCATTGGAAAGACCTCTTTCTCGTCGGTCTGATCGGATTTTTCCTCGCTTTATCCTTTTTTCTTCAGTGTTTCTTTGTACTTTAAAAAACCCAACAACTTTATTTTACAACTGAGGGGGAAGTTGTCCGTTTACCTCAGTGTGGCCGGGCTACCCCCCCTCACCCCTTCTTTCTTCTTCTTCGCTGTTTATTTTTATGGAGAAGAAGTGGGGCTTTTTTAACTGGTGCAAGGGTTGCGGCAGTAAACTTGCTCCACCTGACCATCACACCCTGTGTATTTTTTATTTGGGAGAGTCTCATCGACCTGAGTCCTGTTGCCATTGTGCTTGGTTTTCCAACCAGACACGAAAAAATAGAGCTGCGCGCCTTAAAGTGGCGCTCCTTGAGTCGGCATTGCATCCTCCCACAATGATGGACTCTGAGAGGCCTTCAACATCAACGGCTCCGGCATCGAGGCCCTCTTCCGATCTACCAAAGTCGAAACCACCGGCATTGAAGGCGCAATCCTCCGCTTCCACGCTGGTGAAAAAGAAGACCAAACCAAGTAAGGAGCACAAGTCCACAAAGAAGGGCTCCTCTAAGTCCCTTAAGGCGGCAAAGAAGGGGAAGGTAGCGGTGTCTGCACTGGGTGATGCCCTTAAAGTGCCTCCCGCTCCAACGGCAGTATCGATACCGGAGGCCCAAGCCCCTCCACCGATACTGACCATTCAATTATTGGACTCCCCTATACACCAATTGGAGCGTTCTTACTCCGACATCGAGACGGTAGAGCTCCTAACTCATCAGATGGATGCAGAGCCTTCTCCCTCTCCCTCCCTGTCGTCGACATCAACGGTATTGGAGGCTCTCGAAATCGATTCCCGTCGGGATCAACATACTTCTAACAGCACACAGCGTCACCCTCCACGTCTGCATGTTCAATCTGTCGATATCGACAACCGGGATTACAGCGACTACTCTCAAAGGCAGGCTGCCGCCTTGTCTCTGAGACGTCCACGGTCCAGAAGTCGATCCCCCCGAGTCTTTCTACCCCACCACCACCTCTGTATTGAGATCAACGACAGCTTAGGTATCTTTATGGGGGTTATCCACCATCCATGCCATGGCTGACTCCGGCGGGATATTCCGACTGGGATTGTTATTCGTCCCACTCTGCCCACAGATCATGGTCGCCCTATAGGTCAAGACCTTCGGCATCTTTGTTGCATCCTCCTGCCAACGACCCTTCCCACCACGATCTGGAACCTAGTCATCCGTCAAATCCGCAAGTTGTACCACCTAAACCCTTACCCAGTCAAACTGAGGTCACTACGGTCCAAATACCACACCACGATTCCTCTGACTCTGTGGAAGAGGATTTGGATACCGAAGCCTCCGAGGTTCATACCTCTCCTGACCATAAGTCTCCTGATCAGGTTGTCACTGATGATCTACCCATATCCGCATCTGACAATTGTCACTGATGATCTACCCATATCCGCATCTGACAATCTCACGTCATATACAGATCTCGTCAAAAGAATGGCCCATTCTCTCGGCCTCTCGGTCGTCCAACAACACCCTCAAGTGTCTGATGCAGTTTTTGATATCGTACAGCTCGATACCTCTGCCACTTTGGCGTTACCGATGTCTACAGTCCTTCTACAAGCCGCTAAGGCACCGTGGGAGAAGCCTTCGTCAGCCCCAGTGTCAACAAGACACCTGGATCACATGTACAGAGTCCAGGAAACTGGAGCTGAATTTTTATTCTCCCACCCTCAACCAAATTCTATGGTTGTAACCTCCTCCTCCAAATTTAAAAGAACTCACTCTGCACCTTCTGACAGGGAAAGTAAGAAATTGGATGCCTTTGGCAGACGCTTCTACTCTACAGGAGCGTTGGGAGTGAAAACCATTAACTACCTAGCCTGCATGAGCAGATACCAATACACTCTGTGGTTTCTGAAATCCTAACTCATCTTCCTGAAGATAAACTACAGGCAGCCAGAGTTATTCAAAAGGAAGGCATGGTGTTGGCAAAACAGCAGATCAACACTTCAAAACATGCCCTAGATGCCTCCTCAAGAACGATGGCCTCTGCAATAGCTCTGAGGAGACATTCCTGGCTCCGTAATACCAGTCTACCTATAGATACTAGGTCTTACGTCGAAGACCTTTCATTTGATGGCCTTGGTCTCTTTAACAGCACTACCGATTCCATACTCCAGGACATGGACATGAGTATAAAGGCTTCTTGGGCTCTGGGAGTGTCATCCTCTGTGAGACAACAATACCGTCCTTGCACCTGGTCCAGGCCCTGGCAAAGGCATACCCCAAGTCGTCAGTCTCCTGACAGACAATGGAGACCGTGGACTTCTTCAGAAGGCCAAAAACCCACCTTCCAAAAACCACGGTTTGGATCTGGGCAAAACACTTCTCGCACCAAACAGGCAAAACCCTCCAAACAGGGTTTTTGACTTCCCTTTCACCGAGTCAGTGCAAACCCGTCTATCACCCTTCCTTCACACCTGGCATCACATCTCCTCAGATGAATGGGTACTATCCATCTTGACCCAAGGCTACCGTATCTAATTCCACCAGAACCCTATTACTCCTGTCGTCGTCTTCACACCCCCTTCCCCAACTCTCCTGGAAGAGGTTTCTGTCCTTCTGCACAAGGGAGCCATCGAGCCGGTACCACCTCATTTGCAGAGGAAAGGATTCTATTCCCGCTATTTTACAGTTCCAAAGCGGGATGGAGGCGCTCGACCCATATTAGATCTAAGGTACTGAACTGTTTTGTGACCTACCACCGTTTCCGCATGGTGTCCCTGCAACAGATTATGCAGCTCCTCTGAAAACATGTCTGGATGGCCACCCTCGACCTCCAAGACGCGTACTTCTACCTCACCATCCACCCCTCCCACCGCCAATACCTACGCTTCGCAATTGGTCAACAACATTACCAACATGCGGCCCTGCCAAGTGCCCCGAGGGTCTTTACAAAGACTATGATTGTCATTGCAGCCTTTCTCCGTCTCAGGGGTATTTCCATCTACCCCTAAATCGACGATTGGCTCCTGGTAGCGCCTTCAAAGAACGCCCTGGTCTCAAACATCACCGAGACGTTGGCATTATTAGAAAATGTAGGCCTCCAGGTCAATAACGAAAAGTCTCATTTCCGTCCAGTCCAAAGAATACAGTACATCGGTGCTATACTGGATTCCAAGACACGCATGGCTTACCTGCCACAAGACAGAGTGACAGACATCATTTCCCTAACCAAGTCGTCTTTACCCAGCCTTCAGTCACGGCTTTCCAAATTCAGAGGCTTCTCGGCCTCATGGCCGCAACTACGTTGGTCCTCGTCTTTGCCAGACTAAAGATGCATAGTCTACAACTGTGGTTTATCCGCAAGTATGTCCCAACGAAAAACACACATACCGTCACCCTAACCCCTCCTCCCAACATACGAGACTCATTACTATGGTGGACTGTCCCTTCCAATCTCTTCCAGGGAGCACCTTTCCATCTTCCATCACCTCAAATCACCCAGATAACGGATGCTTCCGTGTCGGGATGGGGTGCACATATGATGGGCATGTGTGTTGGAGGGAAGTGGAACACCCACAAACAAGGTTGACACATAAACTTCCCGGAACTGCTTGCAATACAGTTCGCTGTCAAGAGTTTCTTACCACTGATCAAGGGGAAATGTGTTACGGTCCTCACGGACATCACCACTACACTCGCTTATGTCAACAAGCAGGGAGGCACTGTCTCCCTACATCTCTGCAACGTTGACACATAAACTTCCCGGAACTGCTTGCAATACAGTTCGCTGTCAAGAGTTTCTTACCACTGATCAAGGGGAAATGTGTTACGGTCCTCACGGACATCACCACTACACTCGCTTATGTCAACAAGCAGGGAGGCACTGTCTCCCTACATCTCTGCAACCTTGCCATCGAGTTATGGGACTTTTGCATCACCCACGACATCTTCTTGATAGCCATGCACATCCCAGGACACATGAATGTGCAGGCAGACCATCTAAGTCGAGCAGGGCTCAGTCTCTACGAGTGGGAAATGAACCCAACCTAGCCCTCCCACTCTTCCGCAGGTGGGGAGCTCCCCAAGTCAATGTTTTTGCCACCAGAGACAACAAAAAGTGTCCTCTGTTTTGCAGCCGAGGAGGCATGGACTCACATTCTCTAGGAGATGGTCTCCTTTATCCTTGGTCCAAGAACCTCCTGTACCTGTTCCCTCCCTTACCCATGCTTCTGAGAGTGGTTCGCAAAATCGTCAAAGACAGCGTGGACTGCATATTGATAACCCCATGGTGGCTGAGGCAAGCATGGTTCTCGACCATCCTCGAATTGTCAACAGGGATATACTACCAATTCCCTCCAGCACAGGACCTCCTCTTCCTTTCCGACTCCCCTCTCCAACATCACGACGTACCACACTTGAAATTGACAGTGTGGAGAATAACGTCAACGGTTTTTCCACCTGCATAGTGAACGTTCTACTGAACACCAGAAAACCTACTACGCGAAGGTCCTACCATTATAAATGGCAAAGGTTCTGTTCTTCCTTTGGTGTTGATGCCCCTCGAGCCACCTCCACAGGTCTCGAGAAAGTTTTCCAATTCCTCCTATCCCTCGCTGACTCGGGACTTTCCCACTCATCGTTACGTGTTTATTTGGCCGCCCTTTCGGCCTACCATGTTCAAGTTGATGGATGCACACTGTTTTCCCATCCGCTTTCAAAACATTTTTTAAAAGGTTTATTGCATCTCTACCCTCCTGTCAAAACTCCTGTCATTCCCTGGGACCTTCCTCTAGTTCTTTGCCAGCTCACGAGGAAACCCTTTGAGCCACTCGCAACTTGCGATATGAAATGTCTGTCATGGAAGAAGGCCTTTCTGGTTGCTGTCACCTCTGCAAGGCAAGTTGGAGAAATACTGGCTTTCAGGCATGACACGCAATACTTGTCCTTTTTGCCAGACGGCATCCACCTCGTACCTGACATCTCCTTCCTGCCAAAGGTAGTGTCAGAATTCCACCTACAGGCAGAGGTCTTCCTCCCGGAATTCTTCCCGGCTCCGACATCCTCAGAGGACAGACTGTTACACACCTTAGATGTGAAGCGTGCGCTCCTGTTCTACCTGAACAGAACCCACCCAGCGAGACGTGACTCCCAACTATTCGTCTCGTACACACCATCAAGGCTGGGGACTCGCATCACGGCTCAGCGCCTCTCAAAGTGGATTGTGGGTCTCATCCGCCTCTGTTACCTGATTGCCAAACAGCCATTGCCCGGCCCTATCAGGGCTCATTCAACTTGAGCTGTAGCAGCTTCCACTGCCTTCCTCCAGGTAGTGCCCCTGACGGACATTTGCAAAGCCGCCACGTGGGCCACGCCTTACACCTTCATCAGGCACTATGCCCTAGACATCCGCAAATACTCTAATACCAACATGGGACGTCGAATTCTATCTTCGGCTATGCAGTAAAGGACCTGCCAGCACCCTCCTCCAGGTAGGCCACTGCTCGCTAATCTCCCATGGGTGTGAAGCACAGAGACCACGTCAAAGATAAACAGGTTGCTTACCTGTAACTGATGATCTTCGAGTGGTCATCTGTGCATTCACACCACCCGCCCTCCTTCCCCACTGCTGTCAGCTTCTACATTTTCAATAGGGTTGATTTGCGGCGGTTTGAAGGAACTGGCGGGATGTCCGCGCCCTCCCCTCTGGGCATGCGTGGTGGGGTTCCTGGGCATGCCCGAGGTCTGGGTGCGAAAATCCATTAAAGAGCTTGCTACAATGCCGATCGATCCAGCGCGTGCGCACTAGATCCCATGGGTGTGAATGCACAGATGACCACTCGAAGATCACCAGTTACAGGTAAGCAACCTGTTTTTCCCCCCTGTTGAGGATTTTATTTTGGCTCAAATTATACTGGGTTTCCTGCTTAACAAATTCAATTTTTCTCCTATTATTTCTCTGTGATGCTTACTATGAGAACTCAGGCTATTTCTGTAAGCTATTTTACTACACAAGTATCTTTAGTATGGCCTAATGATTGGTGTGGGGAACTATACACTATGAGATAATTTGGCTGATTGTTATATGTAGCTGCCTTGGAGCACACGTTGAGTCCTGTCCACTGGCAGAAAGGTAGGAGGCTGAAACTGTTTTGTCCTGTATGGGGATGGGGTGAGTGCAGATAGAGTTGCCAGGAAGTAGTTTCTAAATTTGACTAGAGATAAGTGGCTTTTGATTTCAAGGTGCAAGCAAACTGTTATTTTGGAATTAGTGCTGCCTGCCTGAGTGCTTCCTTAGCTACATGCCTGTAAATTTGGTCTATAAATTGGAGCCAGTGTGGTGTAGGGGTTAGAATGTCAGACTAGGATCTGAGAGAGCCAGGTTCAAATCCCCACTCTGCCATGGAAGCTTGCCCATGTCCAGTCACACTCTCAGCCTCACCTACCTCACAGAGGGCAGAATGTCCCAGGCCCCACTGGGGAGAAAAAGTGGGGTATAATTGAAGTAAATATAATTTGTCTCAGATGTAGTAAGATTAGGTAAAGGTAAAGGTTCCCTTGCTCGAAAGCCAGTCGAGTCCGACTCTAGGGTTGCGGTGCTCATCTCCGTTTCAAAGCCGAAGAGCCAGCGCTGTCCGAAGATGTTTCCATGGTCATGTGGCCGGCATGACTAAACACCAAGGCGCACGGAACCCTGTTACCTTCCCACTGAAGTGGTACCTATTTATCTACTTGCAATTTCTTGCTTTTGAACTGCTAGGTTGGCAGGAGTAGTAAGATTACTGCTCTGCTAAAAAGAATTGCCATGTAAAACATGTTTTAAAGTTTCTACTCCCCAACATTTATATTTTACATTTGCCCTTTTAATGTATTGCATAAACATTTTAACCCATTGTGTGATGGGAGAAAAAAGATATACTCCTTCTATAAGAAACTTTAACTTCCCAGTTTATTTATTTCTCCCAATAGGAAATACAAAACTTGGCCCTCATGGTGAGTACAGTTTATTCTCTGTCTACATTGTGATTTACACCCAAATTTCAATTTTAGTTATATAATTATTATAAGATTTGGGTTACTTTGAGCAGAAGAAGTCCAAAATCACATGCACAAAAGTCACATTACAAAGTTTTCCATTCTGATGGGTTGATGAAGTCAATGTGCTTTATTTCTGTTTCTATAGTACAGCACCCAAAGGCTGGAAACCACAGTTTAAAAATAGCACATTAGAAGCAGAATAAATTTTCGATTAAAAATTAAGTATTGGCTAACAGGATAGTTATCATTTACATAATGCTCTCTGAATGTTAAAAGCACTTCACACATCCCACATACTTGGTTCCAATATAAAGATTACCCCAGTCCCACTTAATCAGAGCCCATAAATTAACTTGCCTGCTCACTGACATCAAATGCCCCTTCCCCATCTAGAAAACATCCCTGCATTGTGCTCTCTGCTGAATGTGACAGAAACTCCCTCTCCCTTCTTCCTCGTCTCCCACAGAGGAAAGGACAGGTGTTTTTCCTCCTGCAAGACTGCTTCCACACGGCATAAATTCTTCATGTCGCTTTCATTACCACTCATAATGCAGAGTCATGCATATTGATAATGAAGCTTCCACACAAGGGAGTTTTCTGCACACTTTTCTCTGTCTTTTTCTGACTTTCCCCATCCACACATTCTCCATACCATAGCAAGTCTGTACTGGCTCTCAGAGGCGTGGCCAAAAAGCTCTCTGGAAGCTCAGCGGGGGGGGGGGGGGGATGATGGGAAAGTGATATATACATGGGGCTGATGAGAAAAGGGTGTTGATGTGGGTAGGACTTTTGTAGGGCAGGAAAATGTATACCACTCCTTCCAGATGCTGTGTTCTTTCCAAAAAGCAGATTTAGGAGTGTATGGAGGAGTGGGAAAATCTGACAATTACAGCACAACATTGTGTGTAATCTCTAAAAATAAGCACCCCAGTTTGGAAGCCAAAGCAGAGAAACACCTCCCTGTGGAAACAATCCAAGTACCACCAGCAATGCTTCCCTGCTTCCACCATCATTTGTGTGTGGGTGGGAGGCTCTTCAACAGGAGGTAGTAGTGAGGTGTTGCTTGCGCCTTCTGCAAAATCCCTGTAGAACAGCAAACTGCCCTCAATTCCTCAACTTTTCAGAATATCCCAATGGTCTTTGGGAAGGGAAATAATAATGGCAACTACAAATAATGGCCTTGGCTACAAAGTCACGTTAAAATTATGGACTTCTGTGTAATTTAGCAATCCTTGCTGACTCTCTACCGATATTAAAACTTATTTTGTTGCCTTGTTGCAAATAAAACTAAAATATTTTTTCTTAGGGTCAGACCAGACACTAGAAGATCCACAGACAGAGGAGACCCCAGTTCAGATTTGAGCTGTGCTATTCAGGGAAAGGATATTCCTGACATCAAATGACTCTCCCCCCCCTCCAAGAGTTGATGTTTGCCCCATTGATGAAATCATATAGGCACAAATTAGGCAGTCTGTATATTTCCCCCAAGAGGGCAAATGTTAGCTATGGTGAACTCTTAGAGACATGAGTTAAATTCTCCATACCCTGCACTGTTGTTCTGATCTGAATCAGAGCCTCCCACAACTGTTATTTACCCCCCCAAAAAAATTGAGAGCATCATGGATCTTAAAGCATCTTGTCTGTTTTGACCATTAGAAAAATGATTTATCAAGCCCTGTAAAAATCCTGTAGCCTTTGGTAACAGCACCAGATCTGGCACTGGAACTCTGCTAGCATTGTTATTGAACCTGTGTTATTTTGCCCTGGCACAAGCATTCGCTGAAAGAGGAATTATATTGCCATTAGAAAAAAGGCTTATGTCTTACGAGCAGGTAAGTAGAATGGAAATTTGGATTAAAAAAAATACTTATATGGCATTTATCCTACATTGTAAAATAATCAGTTGTGGTACCGCTGCTTCCTTCACATAGGGTAATATATTGGTTACTATGTTTTTAGGGTGCTATACAACTTAAAATGGTATATACAAAATTACATTTCTGCTTAGCGGTCACTAATGCTGATTTTTTTTTCCTGTTAACGGTACATTCTTTCACATCTGTCCTGCTTTTACTGAGCTTCAGAACAGTTGTTTTGAGGAAAATAGTTAATTTTTTAAATGAAAGTATGCTATTTTATTTTCATGTTTTAACAATAATGTTTCTTTCAGGGTCCTCCTGGACTGCCAGGTCCTCCAGGTCCATTGGGACCACCTGGACAAAAGGTTACAGTCATTTCTTGTGATTCACAAAAATTGACACGGGTTGATCGAGCAAGAATTAACTTAAGTTTGCATAACTTTGGATTGTTTTCTAACAGTGCCATCCTAAGCAGAATTACACTCTTTAAAACCCATTGAAATCAGTAGGGTTGCCAGATAGCTGGCAACCAATGGGAGTCGTGGAGGGGGGGTTGTCATGGGGCAGTGCTGTCACACCAATGGAAGTTTTTAATGTAATTTTTCTCCCACCAGCTGCTGTAGCAGCAGCCGCCAGTGGGAGCTGCAGCCGGAAGATGTCCTGCTTCCAGTGGGTAACTGACAATCCTAGATACCCGTGGACTTAGAGAGTTGTAACTCCACTTAGGATTGCTCTGTAAATCTACTAATAATTTGAATGCAATTGAACTGCATGACCTGTAGGGCAATCTCTCCCTTGTATTTTTCTCACTCTGTGATGTAAATGCTATTGTAATCTTTTCTTCCTACTCTTCATAGCTCACATTTTAACATTTTAGAATAATAAAATCTTTTCCAAGAAATCCTCCCTAGGTCCAGAGTCTGAGAGGTGTGAGCTCTCCATCTTCACACTTTCCACATTTTCCTGTGTTACCTTGTTTCATTCTATTGACTGGTAAAAGCATGTGCACATTAAAGTTTCTGCTTCATGGCAAACCGAAATGACCCTCTCACACCAAATCAGGTAACTGCAACAGGGATAGATGACAGTTACCTTGTTTTAATAACTCAAGCAACATAATATAAGCAAGCCCACCTATAAGATTAATTTCAGGTAATGGCTTTTTATGTGATTGTTGCACCATGCTATGGCAGGGATGAGCAACTATTTCATCCTCATAGATCACAGAGAAAGCATACCACAGAATTAAGTATGGACTTTAAATGCATATTTTAATTGCATGCAGCTGACACTTGGATGAATGCAGTGAGCACTGAAATACAAGTGGGGTAAAAGGTTGCACTGTTTCACTGGCATTCTCCTCTGGATAACACTTATCTAAAATTTGAATGTGTCTGTGTCATGATAATTCCAGATGGGTAGCCATGTTATTTTGTCAATCCATATTATTGGCAAAGGGGCTGGGTTTTTTTTTTTTAAAGATGCAATCAAAAGAGAAGCCAGAGTGGGTGAGAAATACTCCCAACTGTTGATAGATAAACAAGGGAAGAACAGAGTGAAATATGATAATATGATAATAAGATACAAATATGATAAGATACAATTAGATAAGATACAATAAGATACAATTAGAAAGTTTTGGGGATGTAGCTGACCTACTTAATATCTGTAAGGTGCATGATATGCACGATATTAGCACCTATATTGAATGAGGAATTCTAAGGCCTTTTAAGACTTTAGCTGTGGGGTAGTATTGAACTTTATAATCCCAGGTCAGCAATTTTGCACTGGATGTGAGTTGTGACTCATGAAAGCTTAAGCTAGAATAAATTTTGTTACTCTTTAAAGTGCCATTGGATTTCGTTTATCTTTCTCTGTATAATGAGAACACTATGGCACCTTGATTATAATACAAATAGCCTTGCCAAGTTGTACCCTGAAGATGAAAAAGCAGATGAATCAGCCACAGTTACTCCCATATGATGCCTTCAGTCACCCCCTTCTCCATTTTATTTAACAAGTGGAATCCCAGGTTTGGTTGCCCAACAGGCAGTGGGGCTGCCTCACCTCCCTCTGTATCAGGTAACCTAAAGATGCAGTATGGATTTCCTGTTTGCCGCAAGGATTGCCAGCTCTGGGTTGGGAAATACCTGGAGGTTTTGGGAATGGAGCCTGAGGAGGTCAGGATATAAGGAAGGGAGGGACTTCAGTGGAGTATGATGCATAGAGTCCACATTCCAAGGTAGCCATTTCTCCAGGTGAACTGATCTCTATTGCCTGGAGATCAATTGTAATGATGGAATTAGCTAACAGGTGCATTCTGGTATTATTCATAAGAGCTACTAGATGTCATATTGCAGAGAGATGCTATTCATTTGTTAGCCAAACCCCAAACTTCATATACAACTAGGTGAAATAGCTCTTTATATTTTTCTTTCCCCTTGTTTCTGTACCTTAGGGAGAAGTTGGCCTGACAGGTCCTCCAGGACACAATGGTGAAAAAGTAAGGATACATATGTAGTGTATCAAGTGACATTTCAGAATCAGTAATATGGATTTGCAAAACAGATTAATATCAGGTTTAAATGAAAGAAGATGTTATTTTCTTCTCCCTGGAACTGAAATTCCTGGTATAAAGGTTTTGAAGACTCAGGTTTGTAAAATATGCCTGTCTTTAGCGATACAGTATCAGAACTTCCAGTGTTCTCCCAAGCTGGGCCTGAGTATCTTCATGCTAGGTTATCAGTTGTATTGGCAACAATGTAAACTCATTCCTTATCTATAATTCTCATTAGATTTTCTGAATCCAGGGTGATTTTTGCATAGAGATTTTCCATTTACATTGGAATAAGTTTTGGATTTACATTGGAATAAATTTTGGAAGACCTATTTATCTAGCCTGGTCTTTTCAAGTCAGGAGTAATGTGGCTAGTCAGAGAAATCCTGTAACACTTATTTGTAAGTAAATACATTATTTGAAGAAGGAGGTAGGGCAAGGTGAAGAAATCCTCTCTCCCCACCCCATCCTTCCCCAGACCCATGTATAGGCATTAATATATAAAACACAAACAGATGCATGTAGTTCTCCAGAGGTCCAGGGGCAGTCCTTCCTGCTGGGATATAGTTCCTCCATTCTGAAGGCAGAGTTGTCCAGCTTTGTAGTCCTGGGGGGAGGGGCTTGTCCCCGGAGTCCTCAGTTTTTTCAGCTGTATCTAACAGCAGGACATCTCTGGCAGCACTCTTAGGATCGCCGTGGTCATGGCTAACTAGCATAAAACAAACAAACACAGAAAGTAGAGGAAGCCCCCAAGGCTTGCAGAGGTCAGAAGCTTTGGGGCAGAAGACCTGTGGGGAGCGGGAAGGGCTTCCTTGTCTCCTCAGCAGCTTTTTTTTTTTTTTGCTATGGAGAGAAACCCAGTAGCCGACGATGTCAGGGTCTTCCCTCACACCCCAACGCTTCCAAGTCTGGCACCACAGAGGGGTCTCCAGCTCTAGGGCTGGGAGCTTTCCTAGTTCTCCCACAGGGGTGCAAGTGCCGGCAGCAGCCACACCAGAGCACCTCAGCCCTCTGCATGGCCCTGGGAACATCAGAGGGAGCCAGCTCTAAAGAAGGGAAACCACACTGGCTGCAACTTCGGCCTTCCCAACCCTCTGGAATCCCAGTAAGACCCAGTCAGTTTACTGTTTAAGGGCCTGCCTCATAGCAGAGGAGAGCCCTTTCAGTTTTGGGGGAAGGAGGACAGTAAGGCAGAAAATGGCAGCCAAGGCAAGCCTATCTACCTTCCAACCCAGAGACAGCACGGTCTCTGGGCCTCAGCTGGATAAAGAAAGGGAAGGAGCCCACTCCATAGACCTCTCAAGGGACAATGCCCAGGCCAACTTGCTAGCTTGGATCAAGGAAGAAATCCAGAGGGAAATAAAAGAGGCCATGAGTCAGACCAGCCAAACCAGGAGAACACCCTCCAGGTCATCTGTCAGATGTGGAAGGCTTTCTTCATCTAGCAGAGCCTCCCGGGACAGGAGGTCAGAGAGAACATCCTCCTTTCCTTCCCAAACCAAAAGGAGAAAGAGAGACAGCTCTTCTAGGCACAGCAGGGAATCCAGTCCCCTCCTGAGCCATCACTATGAAGAATCTGAGGTCTCAGACTCCTCATCCACGAAGGAGGAAGGGAAGCTGTTGGAAGAGGCCATTGTCATCACAATGCAGACACAGCTTTTCCCCGAGGAGGGGTATGCCAAATTATTGCCAAAGGTGTTGCATATATTAGAGATTTCTTGCAACACTAAGGGAAAGGAAGAACAAGACATAAACTTCCCAGATGGGTCAGACAGGGCTCTTCCCAAGGTGGGGGTGGCCCCCTCCGGAATCCTCTTCCCTGCAATCTTTAACAATGTAGTCAAGGCTGAATGGGAAGCCCAGCTAGAACAAAGTCTAACCACCCTATTATTTCTAAGTTTGGTGTAGTGGTTAAGAGCGGCAGAGTCTAATCTGGAGAACCAGGTTCAATTCCCCACTCCTCCACATGCAGCCAGCTTGGTGACCTTGGGTCAGTCACAGTTCTCTCAAGAGTAGTTCTCTCTGCGCTCTGGCAGCCCCACCTACCTCACAGGTTGTCTGTTGTGGGGAGAGGAAGGGAAGGAGATTGTAAGCCACTCTGAGACTCCAAGTGAAGGGTGGGGGATAAATCCAACTCTTCTTCTAAGTTCTACTCTTTGTTACCAGAGGCGGCAAAGAGGTTCAAGCCCCTGGTGGATGATCTCTTGGCCTGTGCTAAAATTCCATGCTTCCGATTGAAGCAGATGGTTTTCCCAGGGATACCTGTGACAGACAGATAGATCAGGCTTTATGCAAAGTCTTCAAAGCTTCTTCAACAGCTTTGAGAGCCTCTATGGCATGCTCCCTGTTTGCTAGAGCTGCCTACTCCTGGGCATCTGATCTTGCAGCATCAGACATTAATATCTCCAAGGAGCTCAAGAACGAAATTAAAAAGACAGCCGATGCCTCCCTGGATGTCATCCAGCTATCAGCAAGAGCCGTGGCTTCTAGCATAACAGCCAGACGTAACACCTGGCTCCAGAGTTGGGAGGTAGATCCCGAAGTCCAGGCCAGGGTGGCTGGAGTCCGCTTTAAGGGTGGCAACCTTTTTGGTGAAGGTATCAACAAGTACCTCATGGAAGATAAGGACAAGAAGAAGGTGTTGCCTTCCAGGAAGAAAGACAGTAAGTCCAGGAGAGACTTCCTTTTGAGATTCCAAACAAACCTCAGGGGCCAACTCTTCTAGGAGCTTCAAAGGGAGATGGCAGCCCAAGCAGCAAGGCAGTAGCAAAACAATCAACTTTAACAAGTCCGGATAGAGCACCAAGGGTCCCAAGAAGGGATCCTCAGCATGACTGTGCCGAGACTTCAGGCACCCCAAGAATCAGGGGTCGTCTGCAGGAGTTTGTAGTTCAGTGGCATCACACTGTGAACGACAAGTGGGTCTTGGACACAATGGCTATTCTTTGGAATTCAGCTTGATGTCATACAATTGTTTTCTTCAGATACAAAGAAGTCGCTCTGACCAGAAACATTTTCTGGAAAAGGCCATTCAACACCTACTAGTCATAGGGGTGATAGAACTAATGCCAGAAACATAAAGGACGGGGGGGTGTTCTATTCAGTTCTTTTCATAGTCCCAAAGAAGAACAGGGACGTCAGGGCCATTCTGGATCTCAAATGGCTGAACAGGCATGTCAGGACAAAGAGATTCAGAATGGAGACCCTCCAGTCCGTTGTAGCATCTATCAAGAAAGGAGACTTTTTGGCATCAATCAATATATCCAAGACCTATCTGCATATTCCTATCAGGGACGCTCATAGAAGATTCCTATGTTTTGCATACAATGGGAGGTGCTTCCAATACTGGGTGCTGCCATTTGTGCTGAAATCAGCAATAGTTGGTGAGATTATCCAGAGTCCCAAGGTGGAAGTGATGCTCCTGGCAAACTATTAGGGATGATGGTATCTCGACAGTATGTTCTACAGTGGTCTAGGTTTCATGCCCACCCGCTTCAGATTCCTGCTTCCGTTTCAGTACCTAATTGCCAGCAAGAAGTACAAGTTTTTTCAGCTACCTGGATTCCTAAGACAGGAGCTCAGATGGTGGATTGTTCCTTCCTGGTTCCAGGAAGGGATTCCCCTAAGGGAGCCAAAGAGAACCAAGATGACAATGGATGTGAGTCTTACTGGATGGGGGGCCCATGCACAAGGGAGAATGGCACAGGGCAACTGGTCATAAGAACATAAGAACATAAGAGACGCCAATGTTGGATCAGGCCAAAGGCCCATCCAGTCCAACACTCTGTGTCACACAGTGGCCAGAAATACCAGTGCCATCAGGAGGTCCAGCAGTGGGGCCAGGACATTAGAAGCCCTCCCACTGTTGACCCCCCCCCCAAGCACCAAGAAGACAGAGCATCACTTGCCCCAGAGCCCCTAGCTATACCTTGTGGCTAATAGCCACTGATGGACCTCTGCTCCATATGCTTATCTAATTCCCTTTTGAAGCCGTCCATGCTTGTAGCACCCACCACTTCCTGTGGCAGTGAATTCCATGTGTTAATCACTCTTTGGGTGAAGAAGTACTTCCTTTTATCCGTTCTAACCCGACCGCTCTGCAGTTTCATGGAGTGCCCACGAGTTCTTGTATTGTGAGAAAGGGAGAAAAGTACCTCTTTCTTTACCTGCTCTTTCCCATGCATAATCTTATAAACCTCGATAAGAAACAAAGGAGGCAGTTCTAAGCATCAACCTACTGGAGGTCAGAGCAATAAGGCTGGGGTTAGACAGTGTCATAGATGCAACGAACATGAAATTGAGCAAACTTTAGAGGACGGCGGAAGACAGGAAGGCCTGGAGTGATCTGGTCCATGGGGTCGCGAAGAGTTGGACTCGACTGTGCGACTGAACAACAACAACAAAACTGCATTTTCAGGACCTTCTTTCAGGACATTGTGTCCTGGTGCATATTGACAACATGACAGCCAAGGCTTATGTGAACATTCAAGGGGGTACCAGATCCTTTCACAAAGAGGCCAAGATTCTAATGCACTGGGCAGAGAGTTATGTCCTTAAAAGCAGTGCATGTCGCAGGACAGGACAACTCCCCAGTGGACTAGTTGAGTGGAAGGACTATGAACCGATTGGAGTGGATGCTGAACAAGGAGACTTTCCATCCGATTTCTCTCAGATTCAACAAGGTGGAACTGGATCTCTTTGCCATGGATCAAAGTCACCAAGTCCCAAAATTCATGACAAGAACAAAGTCACCTCAGGCCATTGGGGTAGACACCCTAAGCTGCGAATGGCCAAGTCAGCTTTTTTATGCCTTTCCTCCAGTACAGCTGATACAGAGGGTCATATAGAAGATCATAGAGCAAAGGGCAGTAGTAGTCCTGGTGGCACCCTTTTGGCCACGGAGGTCATGGTTTCAGGACCTGATGAGGCTTTCCTCCAAGGACCCT